GCCATACACAGTGCAAATAGCACTCGCGTCTGTTCCCAGCAAGTACAGTGTATTGGAGGGAGGAGAAGATACGGTTCTTGTCAGTTTCCTAAGCAGAGTTGAACTAGACATGGCCCATGTGTGTAGGAAGCACAGTTCTTTTGTTCTGAGCAAGCTCACTGTTCTGGCCCAAAAGAAACACAGTAGAGAAGACGAGTGCTCCTTTCTCAAAAAAAAAGTGTGTTTCTTGTAAGGCGAGCTAGTGTTTGTTTCCCCTTCAAATACAGAATTGAATCACATGCAGTTTCTGGTCCTAGCAACAAGAGTTGTTTTCTTGTAAGGAGGGTCACTAGTGTGCTCCCATTGCCATACACAGTGCAAATAGAACTCACTTCTGTTCCCAGCAAGTACAGTGTATTGGAGGGAAGAGAAAATACTGTTCTTGTCAGTTTCCTAAGTAGAGTTGAACTACATATGGCCCATGTGTGTCGGAAGCACAGTTCTTTTGTTCTGAGCAAGCTCACTGTTCTGGTCCTTTAGGAAACACAATAGAGTAGAAGAGTGCTCCTTTCTCAGTACCGAGTGTGTTTCTTGTAAGGCGAGCTAGTGTTTGTTTCCCCATCATACACGGAGTTGAATCACATGCAGTTTCTGGTCCTAGCTTCAAGAGTTGAGTTCTGGTAAGGATAGTCACTAGTGTGCTCCCATTGCCATACATAGTGCAAATAGCTCTCGCCTCTGTTCCCAGCATGCACAGTATATTGGAGGGAAGAGAAACTACTGTTCCTGTCAGTTTCCTAAGCAGAGTTGAACTAGATATGGCCCATGTGTGTAGGAAGCACCGTTCTTTAGTTCTGAGCAAGCACAATGTTCTGGCCCTATAGGAAACACAGTAGAGTAGAAGAGTGCTGCTTTCTCAAAAGCAGAGTGTGATTCTTGTAAGGCGAGCTAGCATTTGTTTACCCTTCATAAACGGAGTTGAGTCACATGCAGTTTCTGGTCCTAGCAGCAAGAGTTTTTTTCTGTTAAGGAGTGTCACTAGTGTGCTCGCATTGCCAAACACAGTGCAAATAGCACACCCGTTTGTTCCCACCAAGGACAGTGTATTGGGGAATTGGAGCTACTGTTCTTGTCGGTTCCTAAGCAGAGTTGAACTAGATATGGCCCGTGTGTGTAGGAAGCACAGTTCTTTTGTTCTGAGGAATCTCACTGTTCTGGCAATAAAGGAAACACAGTAGAGTAGAAGAGTGCTCCTTTCTCAAAAGCAGAGTGTTTTTCTTGTAAGGCAAGCTAGTGTTGCTTTCCCCTTCATAAACGGAGTTGAATCACATGCAGTTTCTGGTCCTAGTAGCAATAGTTGTTTTCTGGTAAGGAGAGTTACTAGTGTGCTCCCATTGCAATACACAGTGCAAATTGCACCCGTGTCTGTTCCCAGCAAGGACCGTGTATTGGAGGGAAGAGAAGCTACTGTTCTTGTCAGTTTCCAAAGCAAAGTTGAACTAGATATGGCCCATATGTTGGAAGCACAGTTCTTTTGTTCTGAGTTAGCTCACTCTTCTGGCCCTAAGGAAACACAGTAGGCCCTATAGGAAACACAGTAGAGTAAAAGAGTGCTCCTTTCTCAAATGCAGAGTGTGTTTTTTGTAAGCGGAGCTAGTGTTGCTTTCCCCTTCATAAAAGGAGTTGAATCACATGCAGTTTCAGGTCCTAACAGCAAGAGTTGTTTTCTGGAAAGGAGATTCACCGTGAGCTCCCATTGCCATACACAGTGCAAATAGCTCTCGCTTCTGTTCACAGCAAGTTCAGTGTATAGGACAGAAGAGAAGCTACTGGTCTTATCAGTTTCCTAAGCAGAGTTGAACTAGATATGGATCGTGTGCTCTGGAATGTTCTGTATGGCAAATGTGTTGCTAATTAGTCAATAAATAAAACTCTTTTTTCCATTGTCTAGGCAGGATGTGTAGGCGGGACAAGGAGGGGAATAAAGCTGGCAAGTGGAATGCTAAGTCACAGAGACAGTCCCAGCTGCCAGGATGACAAACAGTATGTGAAATGCTGGTAAGCCACAAACCATGTGGCAAGGTATAGATTAATAAAATGGATTAATTTAAGCTCTAAGAACAGTTAGTAAGAAGCCTGCCCCGGCCATACAGTTTGTAACAAATATAAGTCTCTGTGTTTACTTAGTCGGGTTTGTGCAGCTGTGGGACTGGCTGGTGAAAGAGATTTGTCTTGACTGTGGACAGGCAGGAAAACTCTAGCTACATCAGTGTGTAATTAGCACAGTTCTTTGTTCTGAGAAAGCTCATTGTTCGGGCCCTATAGAAAACACAGTAGAGTAGAAGAGTGCTCCTTTCTCAAAACCCGAGTGTGTTTCTTTTAAGGCAAGCTAGTCTATGTTTCCCCTTCATAAACGGAGTTGAATCACATGCAGTTTCTGGACCTAGCAGAAAGAGTTGTTTTCTGGTACGGAGAGTCACTAGTGCGCTCCCATTGCCATACACAGTGAAAATAGCACTCGAGGCTGTCCCCAGCAATTACAGTGTATTGGAGGGAAGAGAAGCCACAGTTCTTGTCAGTTTTCTAAGCAGAGTTGAACTAGAAACAGCCCGAGTGTGTAGGAAGCACAGTTCTTTGGTTCTGAGCAAGCTGACTGTTCTGGCTCTATAGCAAACACAGTAGAGTAGAAGAGTGCTGCTTTCTCAAAAGCAGAGTGTGTTTCTTGTAAGGCGAGCTAGAGTTGAATTCCCTTTCATAAACGGAGTTGAATCACATGCAGTTTCTGGTCCTAGCAACAAGAGTTGTTTTCTGGTAAGGGGAGTCACTATTGTGCTCATTTGGCCATACCCAGGGCAAATAGCACTCGCGTCTGTTCCCAGCAAGTGCAGTGTATTGGACGCACAAGAAACTACTGTTCTTTTCAGTTTCCTAAGCAGAGTTGAACTAGATTTGGCCCTTGTTTGTAGGAAGCACAGTTCTTTGGTTCTGAGCAAGCTGACTGTTCTGGCTCTATAGGAAACACAGTAGAGTAGAAGAGTGCTGCTTTCTCAAAAGCAGAGTGTGTTTCTTGTAAGGCGAGCTAGAGTTGAATTCCCTTTCATAAACGGATTTGAATCACATGCAGTTTCTGGTCCTAGCAGCAAGAGTTGTTTTCTGGTAAGGGGAGTCACTATTGTGCTCATTTGGCCATACCCAGTGCAAATAGCACTCGCGTCTGTTCCCAGCAAGTGCAGTGTATTGGACGCACGAGAAACTACTGTTCTTGTCAGTTTCCTAAGCAGAGTTGAAATAGATACGGCCCGAGTGTGTAGGAAGCACAGTTCTTTGGTTCTGAGCAAGCTGACTGTTATGGCTCTATAGGAAACACAGTAGAGTAGAAGAGTGCTGCTTTCTCAAAAGCAGAGAGTGTTTCTTGTAAGGAGAACTAGAGTTGAATTCCCTTTCATAAACCGAGTTGAAGCACATGCAGTTTCTGTTCCTAGTAGCAAGAGTTATTTTCTGGTAAGGAGAGTCACTATTGTGCTCAATTGCCCATACACAGTGCAAATAGGACTCGCATCTGTTCCCAGCAAGTGCAGTGTATTGGACGCAAGAGAAGCTACTGTTCTTGTCATTTTCCTAAGCAGAGTTGAACTAGATATTGCCCGTGTGTGTAAGAAACACAGTTCTTTTGTTCTGAGCAAGCTGACTGTTCTGGCTCTATAGGAAACACATTAGAGTAGTACAGTGCTGCTTTCTCAAAAGCAGAGTGTTTTTCTTGTAAGACGAGCTAAAGTTGAATTCTGTTTCATAAACGGAGTTGAATCACATGCAGATTCTGGCCCTAGCAGCAAGAGTTGTTTTTTGGTAAGAAGAGACACTATTCTGCTCTAATGGCCATACACAGAGCAAAGAGCACTCGCGTCTGTTCCCAGCAAGTGCAGTGTATTGGACGCAAGAGAGGCTACTGTTCTTGTCAGTTTCCTAAACAGAGTTGAACTAGATATGGCCCGTGTGTATGGAACCATTACTTACAGTAATGAAATAGGCCTACTTTTTTCCTATAAAGAGCCTTATGCTAGCCAATTTTATTATTGTTTTAATGTTTTGAGTAGGCAATGCAGTCATTGCAAAAGGATCAAAGGAATGTGGTTCTAGCTCTCGCTGGCCCCTCTCTTTCCTTTCCTACTCTTCACCTCATTCTCTGCTTCCACTCCAGATCCTTGACAGTGCCTTGTAGATACAGGTAAACGTGATAATATAGCTTGACTTCTTTTTTCCCTTAGGTCACACAAAACAAACACTGTTTTGGTCACTTGATTTTGCAAGACTTGGTTGTTGCTGTGGTATAAAATCTATTAGAGAGAAGATATTGGGATGATTTAATTACATTTCATCTTTGAAGAGATTTTTTTGCAGGCTGAGAGTTCAATTTGTTTCAATGGTAATTTTGTATTGAAATAGACTTGGGGCCAAACTACAGCCTTGCCAAGGCTTATATAACTAATAGAAGCTGAGCCTTCAGCCGTTGCCATATGCTGTGAGGAACAAAGCCAGAGAACAGTCAGTGCATGTAGGTCTTGAGCACTGAGTTCTGGAGCCTTGAGAGCTGTCTCACAAAAAATGTGTTGTGTGTGGTGTTCTGTTTTGTTTTTCATTCAGGTGCTAGTTCTTTATTACTTTTAGTTTTTTCATTTCTTTATTACCATATATTAATTGCACAGCATATTGAGTTTTATGACGACATTTCCATGCATGTATGTAATGTATATTGATCCTGTTACTCTCTGCTATCCACTCATCATCACCCCCAACACACACACATACACACTGTGCTGGTCCCCTTCTGTTTTCCAAACATGTGTAACATACTTCTCTTCTTAGTGCTCCTTGAGGGGGAAGTAAAGGACAAGAGCTGGGAGATATGGCTTGGAGTCATATTGCCACCAAGTAGGATCTCTAGAGAGAACCTGTGCCCCTCCCAAAGCCACGTACCCTGAACATGCTGCTTGTGTCTTGTCTTTCTTCACCCTAGGTACTGGCGGAGGACACTGGGTATGCAAGTCCGCTATGTACACCATGAGGACTATCAGTTCTGTTACTCCTTCTGGGGCAGGCCAGGACACAAACCGTCCATCCTCATGCTCCATGGATTCTCTGAACACAAGGATATGTGGCTCATTGTAGTCAAGGTACACTTCCAGACTCTTCTCTCTTAAAAGGGGTGGACCACAGTTCAAATTCATCTTTAAATTAATGAAATATATAATATATTACTGAGACTCTTTTTTTTGCATTACAGAATTGATTGGGTAGTATTTTAAAAACTGTGTCTCTGGAATCTTCTTACCATGGAGATATTTTTAGGCATGGGGAGGGTTGGGGATGTTTCAGCACAGCTCTACCTCAGAACTGCCATGATGGTGGTCAAGGCTGGGCCTTTTCCAAAAGTGTTTGTTCTTAAACATTCTTTTCCTTTCCCTGCCTACCCCCAAAATCCTCTTCCTTCTGCTATTTGTTCTTTTTTCTTTTCCTTAATCATTTAGAGAAATGGTCTTGATCTGGCAGCTTTTTAGAATCCTTTTCCAAGTCACTTTTTGTACTGTTGACTTGTGTGGCCTCTCACTGTACTTTGGGAGAGTGGCCAGCTAATGGGGGACAGGGGGCGGGACTGAGGCTGGTGTTTGTCTTGAGAGAGCAGCATCCCAGGTTCCTACTTCAAATGGGACAATATCTGAAAGATCGTAAGTGTCACTAGGAGGAAAAGTGCACATGTCATTGGGTTATTTGTGTTCTTTCCAAATGCCACCATGAGGACAGCCATCTTCAAGCCTTAATCCTTTTTGTCCCCTCTTCAGTAAACATCTTTGATAACTAATGTTTCTCAGACTCATGGCTAAAGTTGGTGCATCTTTTAAACATAGAGGAAAGGTGATTTGGGAGAATCATCATCTCAATAATTAGACCCTGATGAAGGAAAAAAGAAAGTTGAAACCAGCCTTATGGCTTTGGGGAAAGGCATTGCTCCTTTTGGCTCTGGACCTGGCCAGGGCTCTGGGAACCATCTCTTCTAGTTCCAGGACAACACTTCCTCCAGCCATGTGGCTGTTGTCCTGGAACTAGAAGAGATGGTTCCCAGAGCCCTGGCCAGGTCCAGAGCCAAAAGGAGCAATGCCTTTCCCCAGGAAGTGTAGCATGGAAGGGAAGGAAATAGTACTGAGCAAACAGTATTAAGAAGTTTTCAGATGTTACCTTGGAGGGAAAAGCACTTGCAGTGCAAGCCTGATAAGCTGAGTTTGATCCCTGGAACCCACATAAAAGTGGAAAGAGAGAATGGATACCTAAAACATAATGGTAAATATTTTAAAACATTAAGTGCAAGATTTAAGCCTGCTAGCCTGAGTTTTGTATCCTCTCTCCTGTCACCCACTGAGCCTCTTTTCATCTGTGCACCAGTCTTGGGGTCCTCTTCTCCATATGAGGCTCTGTTGATAATTTATTCACATGTATAAGACACATAGAGGCTCAGAAACATAATCTCAGTGGCTGTCTGGGTCATTGAGTAGGTGGCAGCTTCCTCCCCAGAGAAATGGGTAGACATGTTTTTCTAGATCACATACTGACTGTCTGGCTCTGGGTCTTCAGTTCCTTCCGAAGAACCTGCACTTGGTCTGCATGGACATGCCTGGTCATGAAGGCACCACCCGCTCGTCCCTGGATGACCTGTCTATAGATGGGCAAGTTAAGAGGGTACATCAGGTAAGCAGGAGGCTTTACCCAAACTGCCCAGATTGTATCTTCTCAGCACATGGAAAGCAGGCAAGAGTTGCACACTAGCTCATGGCCAGTCCGTAGTACATCTGTCTTTAAGTGATTGCAAACAGAATGGCAGCCTAGGGATATCTTTGGTCAGTTTTCCTTTAAGCCTATTGTATTTTTTTGTTTTATTTTTTGAAATAGGGTATCATGTAGTGGAAGTTGCCTTAAACTTCTGATCCTCCTGCCTCTACTTCCCAAGTGCAATGATTACAGTAATGTACTACCATTTTATGTGGTGCTGGGAATCAATAACAAATCAAGGAATCAGTGCATGCTAACCAAGCACTCTGCCCACTGAGTTACATCTCCTGCCAATTTGTACATGAAGAAATGTAATCTGGGCAGTTTCTCAGCCCTTTAAAAAGGCATTTAGAATTCTACAAAACTGTTCCCCTGTGGAGGTCTGTTTTTCTCCTTCTGTGTGGTTGGGGCGAACTCTTTGCATGTTGTTGTGTTTTAGTATCCATCTCTGGCTCTCTCCTAAGGTTATGTATAAAGCCTTTTCTTAACAGAATAGTTTGTAAGTTTCACGTTCACATTGATGTTTTTTTTTCTAAATAAGAATATTTAGGAGTCGGGCAGTGGTGGCACACGCCTTTAATCCCAGCACTCGGGAGGCAGAGGCAGGCAGATCTTTGTGAGTTCGAGGCCAGTCTGGTCTACAGAGCGAGATCCAGGAAAGGCACAAAGCTACACAGAGAAACCCTGTCTCAAAAAAAAAGAATATTTAGTTGATAATTTCTGCCTCCACCATTAAACTATATATTTTAACGAGGGCTTATTGTCTGGCTCTTTGCTGTGTCCTCAAGGGCTAACCATAGTTACTTGTACCTAATAAATATCTAATAATATTTTTCCAGTGAGGGATAAATATGTAGATGGTTGATTGGACCCATGTCTAGCCAGATAGGGCTTCAAATGAAGCAGGAGTCATCAAACTATCGCCCAGAGCTGTCAACCTACTTTTGTAAACTAAATTTTACTGGAACACATCCATGCTTACTTAGCTTACTTAGGTATGTATTGCCTCCGGCAACTTTTGTGACGCAGTAGCCTAGTTGTATAGTTACCACAGAGACCAGCCGACCCATAGAGAGAGGAAAAAAAAATCGATGCCTTGGTCCTTTATAGAACAGTTTATGACTTAAGGGGATCATTGTTGTTTGATTTATACTTATAAATGACCCTACAGCCACATGTGCCTTATAAAGCAAAGTACACATATGTCACAGGGCTCAACTAAATGTTGGGTGTAATAATCAGTGTCAGACCCAGTAGAGTGTTCAGTTTTACTGAGGGGAGGGGTCTCTGCTCTGCAGTAGTTGCTGACATCTCAGCTGTAATCATGCCTCCTTTTCATTTCTCTTCCTAGTTTGTAGAGTGCCTTAAGCTGAACAAAAAGCCCTTTCACCTTATAGGCACCTCCATGGGTGGCCACGTGACTGGAGTATACGCTGCTTACCACCCATCTGATGTCTGCAGCCTGTGTCTTGTGTGCCTTGCTGGTGAGTTACATTACCAGAACAACCTTCCAAGTAACTTGAATTTAAAGAAGCATCCACACAGCTTCTGCTATGACTCCTTTAAAAAGTTACCCTTCTGATATAGACCTAGGAGATAGACAATGCTTTGTGATAACTCTGACCAGATAACAGTTGTGTGATGAGAACCATAGCCAGACTGACTTAATTGGAGCCAGACCTGGTTCACAGAGAAGGAGGGAGGCAGTGGCCATGTGCATGGTGCTGTGTGGCTCCTGTACTTAACTGTGGAACCTGTCCTTCTCCACAGAGAAGGAGGGAGACAGTGGAAATTTAAGATTGATTGTTTGCATGTGAGAAGGTGGAAACAAGTTAGGATCACATCCTACCTACATTTTTCCATATAAGTTTTGTCTTAACTTTGAAATAATTTTAAATTTATAGGAACATTGCCAAGGTAGTGCAGATTCCCATATTCCCTTTACCCAGTTTTGTCTATGTGAACAGCTCACATCCCCACAGTGACCCTGTCACAACTAAGGAGTTGAGCTTGGTGCCTTACTATCAACTGAATCCCAAGCTTCATTTGAATTTGACTTCATTTTTCCACCCGTGTTGCTTTTGAGTATCAAAATCCAGTGTAGGATACCACAAGATATTAAACCTAAGATTAATTTTTTTCTTAAAAAATAAATATGGCCGGGCGGTGGTGGCGCACGCCTTTAATCCCAGCACTCGGGAGGCAGAGCCAGGCGGATCTCTGTGAGTTCAAGGCCAGCCTGGACTACCAAGTGAGTTCCAGGAAAGGCGCAAAGCTACTCAGAGAAACCCTGTCTCGAAAAACCAAATATATATATATATATATATATGACTTTGGGGGGCCAGTGACAATATAAATTAAAAGAGAAGAGATGTAAAGGCTAACAGATAAAAAATGAGTTTTATTATTTGATCATCTGTCAGGGTGTGACTTTTTATCAAAACTTTCATTTGAATGCAAAAACAATGACTTTTTTTTCCTTTCTATGGTGCTGAATTTCAAACCAGGGCCTCATATAGGCTAAGCAAGGGCTCTGCTACTGAGCTGCACGCCCACATCTTAAGTTAGTTTGTTTATAACATAGATGTTATCTTAGCACAACTTCTAAAGGCTATTACAGAAAGTTATGAGGCCATTTTTGAAAGCTTTTAGGACTACCTCATGAAATTGCCTGTGCTCTAAAAGGACATATTCTGTGATTAAAATTAAAGAGAAGTCACTGTGAAACAGTATTGGATATGGACAATTCTGGACAGGTTCTATGTATCCCCCCATCCCACAGGTTAGGTTCTTGCTATGGCTGGCTTTAATTCCCTGTGTATGTAGCCTAGGCTGGCTTTGAACTTGCAATCCTCTTGCTTCAGATTCTTGTGTGGCTAGGATTATAGGAGCATACTATCTCAGCAGGCTTTTCAGGACATAGATACATAATGTGTGGTTTTCTTTATGGGTAAGAGACAAAGTTGAAGCTGAGTATCTTCTTGGTCACTGTCCACTTTATTTGTTGATGTGGGGTTTCTAGCTGAACCCGGAACTTGCCAGTTATGGCTGGTCTAGCTAGCAAGCTGGCCACATAGTCTCCTGTTTATCTCCAAGAGTTGAGATTACAGGTGACTGTTACAGCTTCTGCATGGGTTCTGGGGTTCTGAACTTCCATCCTCATACTTATGCAGCAAGAGCTTTACCAGTGAGCCATTTCCCTGGTCCTAACATGTTGTTTTCTATAGGATGGCCAGTATTAAAGATGCAACTGCCTGTTTGTTTTTAAGACAAGGTCTCATGTAGTCAAGACTGGCCTTAAATTCATAATCTTTCCACATCTACCTCCCAAATTCTGGGATCACAGGCCATGCCTAGCATAGTGTTAGCTATCAGAGCCTCTTGTGTCATGAGACAGTGGGCAGTCTCAAAAGGAGTCTCACCCCTCACCTAATTTTCTTCTGGAGGAAGAGAGCCTTTGTGCTGCACTTACACTCTCTTGTGTCTTATGCATTGGCCACAGAGGGGAGGGCATCCAGATCAAGGGAGGGAGCTGCAGTCATGGCAGCTCCATGCTTTCTTTCCATCTCTCACTTCCTTCAATCTCCTCGAAATAACACAGGCATGAAAACAGCTCGAGTGAGGCACCATCTGGTACTCTCCATACTCTGCCATTCTCACCCCCTTGCAGCTTGTGGAAATGCAGGTTCTGGTTCAAGAGGCTTGGGGACAGCCTCCGTTTCTGCGTATCTTGCTAGTCTGTGGCCATGGTATGTGCAATCAGCCCTAAAACATAATGCTGTTGTTTTAATCTGGACTAGCTTAGAATTTATTATGTAAGCCCATGATGGCCTTGAACTTGTGATTCTCTTGTCTCCACCTCTTGAGGCATGTATGTACCACCATGCTTAACTCCAACCCTAAAATATCTTAGATGATATATTTTTTTCTATAATTCTCAGAATACGATGTTTACTTTGAGCAAGGGTGCCAGTACCAATTAAAAAGTGATCTCTTAGCCAGGTGGTGGTGGTGCACAACTTTAATCCCAGCACTCAGGAGGCAGAGGCAGGCAGATCTTTGAGTTTGAGGCCAGCCTGGTCTACAGAGTGAGTTCCAAAGATGGCTAGATCTACACAGAGAAACCCTGTCTCAAAGAGAAAAAAAAGAGAGGATTGTCTCCTGGTGAAAGAAACCTGACATGTTAACCTGAGTCCCTGGGTTTTCATTGAACATTTCCTGCACATAGGGGCACAATACACCTGATAGGTGTATCATTGGGCTCTTTTGTTTTGCATCCCAGGCCTGCAGTATTCAACTGACAATCAGTTTGTACAACTCAGCTGCCATTCAGAAAATTCCCTTGATCCCATCCACCCCGGAAGAGATGAGTGAGATGCTCCAGCTCTGCTCCTATGTCCGATTCAAAGTGCCCCAGCAGGTACAGTGTATCAGTGCCACACCCTTGCCCTCCATGCAGCCTCCCCCAGCATGGCCTCTTGCATCTACTCTCTGACTCCATTCTGTCTGCTCCATTATTCAACATGTAGCTTACCTGTGATTATGTTAGACACTGTGCTGAACACTAAGACTCTTAGACTTGTACATTTAAAAAATTATTTTGGATGAACCTGGAGGGCTTTTTATCTATGAGGGTTATATTTATTGATATTGAAACTCAAAAAAATTAAAAAAACAAAGATAAACATTTGCCATAAGAGATGATATTATCATATATAGTATGCTTTTAAGAGAATGTAGGTGAAAGGCAATGATGTTGAGTGTCATTGAGTATGATCACAGTGTGACCTCATGGTTTCCTAAGAGCTGCTCTGGAGAAGATCTTGTATGTCCTTGTAGTTTATGGGAGTGAGTCTGTTTTTTCTAAGCATAATGGGAGAGCCACTGAAAGACTGTAGAGGACACAAATAGAAACAGAGGCCTCTTGGGATATACTGTGGCTTAGAGGTGATGCTGGTACCAACTGGGGTAGTAGCACTAGCTAAGATGTGTTGTGAGGAAGAATGGACAGGACTTAGGGCAGGTTGGAAGTAGAGGTGAGGAAAAGTGAGTGGTCATAGATGACTTCCAGTTCTTGAGACTGAATGGGTAAAGGTAGCATTTTCTGCACAGGGAAAGGAGAGGAGGAATTTCAGGTTTGAGACATATGTTGAGAGTTCCATTTTTGGATATATTAAGTTCAGATTGCTTTTGAGGCTTCCAAGGGATGGGCAGTTGGACATTTAAGTGGTGCAAAGGGATTTCTGGCCTAAACATAAAGCAGGAGCCATAGACAGAGGAAGATATTGAGGGTCAGGTCTGAATGAAGTCGTTTGAGGAAAAGGTGTAGAGAAAAAAGTCCACAGCTGCGGCCTTATGAACCCAGATTATCTTCCTATGTTGTAAGCAATGAACCCTGCCTCAGAGTGAGGTGAGGTCCTCCTAAGCTGTGAGAATGGATGCTACACAGACTTTGTGACCATGACTTAGTTAATAAGTGCAGTACGTTTCTGGAGAAGAATCCAAAATCTGTGTCTGTGGTGTAATCTGTCCTTGATATCTTTTTAGTCATAAAGTGGCACTGTCCTCTTCCAGCTATAATACCTTTAGAATATTGTGACCAAAGAAGACTCCTTGCTTTTAGTTGTCAGGGATAAGAAAACACTGGGAGAAAATATATGTTGATTTCAGAAGCCTTTCTTTCCCAGTAGGGTAGGGCCACCTACCATTGAGTCCATTAGGCCATCTTGTGGTTTCGTTTGTTCATGTGTGTCTTCTGCTCTGTTCTCTGTCAGGGCCTGCCTATCTCCAAACTTTAGCAGTGCACTTTCATGAAGAAGGTCCTACTTATATAGATTGCATGGATGGTGGATGTTATAGGATGTCTTAGTGTCAGAGATAGAGAATGGATAGTTATATAGGTACAAGATAGATAAATGAGTTAATGCATGTTATGCTTATATGGTTTAAGGCTGCAGGATGGAACCATGGGTGGATGGTTGGTTGGTTGGAGGGATGGGATGATGACTGGATAGTATAGGGGTGGAGAAAGGATAGATTAGCAAATACAGACATAAATAAATGATTCAGGGAAATAAGATAAATGGATGAACTGATCCATCAATTAAGCCAGTGGTTCTCAACCTGTGGGTCGCAACCCTTTTGGGGGTTGAACAACCCTTTCACAGGGGTCACCTCAAACCATAGGAAATAATCAGATATTTACATTACAATTCATAACAGTAGCAAAATTATAGTTATGAAGTAGCAATGAAAATAATTTTATGGTTGGGGGTCACAGCATTAGGAAGGTTGAGAACCACTGAATTAAGCAGAGTTGGAAAAGGATAGATGGATGCATGGATACTGGATGGATAGTAGAAAGAAGAAAATATCTGTCATGGAGCACAGTGTTTATTAAGTAAACAGTCATTTCCCTCACCTCTGTGCTGCTAATTTCAGAACCTCTAGGATTCTAAAGAGCTGGTTTTGCCGGGTGGTGGTGGCGCATGCCTTTAAATCCAACACTCGGGAGGCAGAGGCAGGCGGATCTCTGTGAGTTCGAGGCCAGCCTGGGCTACCAAGCGAGTTCCAGGAAAGGCGCAAAGCTACACAGAGAAACCCTGTCTCGAAAAACAAAAAACAAAAAACAAACAAACAAAAAAAAGAGCTGGTTTAGTCAAAAGCAGTCATGGTTCAATATATTAGTGAGCTTTCTATCACTGTGGGAGAATACCTGACAGTGCCATGGGTTCAGAGGTTTCAGGCCATGGTTACTTGGCCCCTTCATTTTGAGCGTATAGTGAGGCAGAACATCATGGCAGGAAGCATGCAGTAGAGCAGAACTGCTCATCTCATGGTGGACAGGAACCAGACAAGGATGGAGCCAGAGTCCCAATATATCATTCAATGACCTCTCCAAGTGGGTCCCACCTCCTAAAGCCCACCCCACAGGCTGAAGACCAAGCATTCAGTACATGACCTTTTGAGGAACATAACACTAGTCTTCCCAACTTTGGTCTGCATAAGACTCCTGAGAAGGTATGTTGAAGGCGTCTAGACCTGTTCTCTGGTGAATGAGAGGAGTGACAGCTATCTTTGTGAACCCTCTGCTTTGACTTAGAGTCCTGAGGCAAGGAACTGCTTTACAATTGCCATAGCCACCTATCTGGGTTAGTAGCCCAGGGCCTACCTATATTTGCTGCAGCCCTCAGCAAAGAAAACAAAGGCAATGTCAGACAATAATCTGGGCTCTCTGAAACTATGGGGTTCTCACCAGAGTTTTCTTAATAGTTTATTTCTTCTCCTCTTCCTCCTCTTTTTCCTCTTCCTCTTTCTTCTTTTTTTTTTTTTTTGGTTTTTCAAGACAGGGTTTCTCTGTGTAGCTTTGTGCCTTTCCTGGAACTCACTTGGTAGCCCAGGCTGGCCTCGAACTCACAGAGATCCGCCTGGCTCTGCCTCCCGAGTGCTGGGATTAAAGGCGTGCGCCACCACGCCCGGCTTCCTCTTCCTCTTTCAAGAGGGTCTTTTTATGTATTACAGACTATCCTGGAACTCACCAAATAACTGAAGATGAATTTAAACCCTCAATTCTTCTGCCTCTATCTCTAGAGTATTAGGATTATAGGCATGCTGTACCACACCAGGTTTATGTGGTGCTGGAGATGGTTGAGGCTTGGTGCATGATGCTAGGCCAGTGTTTATAGGATCATCAATCCTGATGGTTCAATCTTGTTCTGCATTTAGATATCATTGAATAATGGCCTGATATTTTGTTTATCCAAATTTTTGTCTTGAATTAAACCAAGAGTTTCTCAAGATGCCATGCTAATGTCTTTATAATGTCTTTAACATAATATGCAGACCTCTGGCTTCACAGCATTTCCCAAGTTCCCCCCTAATTTTTTATTATTTTTTAATGTGAAAAGTGTTTTGCCTGTATTTTGTGCACCACATGCATGAAGTGCCTACAGAGGTTAGAGGAGAGCATCAGAGCCCTTGGAACTAGAGTTACAGATGGTTATGAGCTTCCTTGTATATGCTGAGAATCAAACCAGGTCTTATGTAAGAGCACTGAGCTATCTCTCCAGCTCAGTTTGTTTTTTAAAGCCTCCCAATTATATTCTACATTCTGGGGATTCACAAGCCCAACCCTGGGCAGTGCTGCCCCCGAGCTATAAGACACTGGAGGATGTGGGACTTCTCTTGTTTTCTAACCTTGGATTATTCATCCTCAGATCCTTCAAGGCCTTGTTGATGTTCGCATCCCTCATAACAGTTTCTACCAGAAACGTAAGTAGCCCTGCTCTAGCTTGCGGCTTTGCGGCCAGCTGCCTTGTAGTTTGTAAACCTCTGTACATGTCCTGTTTTCTGGTCCCCTGAAGAGAAGTAATGGCCTGGACTTGAAGCTCTGACTTTTGTGGTACCTATGTGCAGACCCTGCATATACTCACTGTGTTTTTCTTTTCTGACAAGTGTTTTTGGAAATTGTCAGTGAGAAATCCAGATACTCTCTGCATCAGAACATGGACAAGATCAAGGTCCCAACACAGATCATTTGGGGAAAACAGGACCAGGTATGTCATAGGGCCCTGTGGAAAAAAAGCAAGTGGTGATCTTTAAAGTGGGCCTCCGTGGTGGGTTTATTGTGTCAGGTGCCAATGTCTGCTGCCACAATTCTTTAAGCTGGGAACAATGACATTTGACTTTTAACATGAAAGGAAATTTATTTGTTTGTTTATTGAGATAGGTAGCCCAAGCTGACCTTGTACATAGGATCTTCCTGGCTTCAAATCTGGGATCAACAGGGCTGATTCCTCTAGGAACTCTGAGGGAGACTCTCCCCATTTTCCTCCAGCTTCTGTTGCTTGCAACCATCTTTGGTATCCCCTGTCTTATAGATGTATTCCCTGGGTTCTACTTTCATCTTCACATGACAGTCTGTGGTGTGTGTGTGTGTGTGTGTGTGTGTGTGTGTGTGTGTGTGTGTATCTGTATTCACAATCCACTTTTTAAAGGATACCAGTAATATGGCTTAGGGCTTCCCTGCTCTCTTATGACATCATCTTAACCAGTTACACCTGCAATGCACTATTCCAAAACAGGCCAATGCTGAGTACTGGAATTAGGACTTCAGCATAAGAATATGGGGACTCCATTCAGCTCATAACCAGCTCTCCAAAGACACACCAAGTTTATTCCCAGAAGTACCTTTGTAACTGCCTCTGAGAAATCATGCCTACCAAAGATTTTTCATAATGTTTAAAGCAAGAGGAGGCAGTGAGAAATGTATAATGCAAACGAATGACAGTGTATTATAAAGGGTACACAAGAATCTTTCATTAAGGAATATTGTAAGAAAAAGATATTAAAAACAGTTTTTTTTCTGATTGTTTTCTGGTGCCATAACAAAATGTCTGAGACTGAGTAATTTAAAAGGACTAGATGTGTAAAGGTTAATGTTTGGTTGGCTGGGAAGTCCATGTGTAGAGTGCCAGCATCTGCCAGCATGTAGTGAGGGGCTTTCTGTTCCATATTTGGTTGAGGACAGCATGATAGTGACATTAATCCATTCCTGAGGGCAGAGATCTCAATGATCTATTAGTCCATTTAGGAGGGCAGAAGGATAAAGTTTCCAATGCATGAACTTATAAGGGACACCTTCAAGCTTGGCAGACCTGAGTTCTGATGCAGCTGAGGAAGTAGAGGAATCTTTAAAGAAAGGGAAAGAGAACTCAGGAATAGTGTCTTCCCTTTCTTTGTCTTATTTGCCCTCTCAGCCCCTATCTATGGAGCCCCTGTTCACATAATGATACAGTCATCTCTTGATAGTTCTGGCTCCCCCTCCGGCTTAACCTCCTTGCAGACAGGAACTCTGTCTTTTCTACCTGGTTATCATTGGCAGTGTTGTACTTCTATTACCACATTTCAGAGTCAAACAGGAGACATGCCAACGGCTTCCATTTATCCCATCTTCCTGACCCCTGCCAGGCCTCAGTGGTAGAAATTGTGCACCGTGCTCCCAGACCCTTCTGGCAGCACAACCTATACCTCTTCTCTCTGGATTGACAAGGGTTACTACCCTCACTGCACAGCCTTGTGAGGCCACTTTGAAGAGAATATTAGGAGAGAGAGTTGCACAAGGCAGCCTGCCTTCCTCTGTACCATCACATGAAAGATTTTCTCCATCCACCAAATCTATGTTTTAGACTGAAAACTCCTCTGCACCTGAAAATTTTCCCAAACAACTACACCAAGTCTTCATGTTTTCAATTGTAATTCAGCAGAAACTGTTGTCAATAATTTCCCATCAAAACATTATTCTAGAAATTAAAATGAAAATTTTATTTAAAACAAGAATGAATTACAACATTTCTAAAATTAGGCTGATTTTGAATAGGAAACATTAGGGGAATCTACTATTGGTATTTTCCTAAACCACCATAATCTAGCTGTGTTCAAAACGCTCATCCTTCTACTCACGAGTAAGTGCAGCCCTCCCCCCTTTCCAAAGAAGCTTCTTTTTACAACAGTAGAGACTATCACTGCACTACAGTGGTAAACATAAAGGGATGCTCAAACCCAGCTGCTACACCTACAATGCAACCCTTGTACTTAAGGCTCAGGAAAAACCATGAAGAGGAGATGGAAGTGTAAGCCAGAGAGCCAGTGTTGCTAGACAGTGTCTTCTAGACACGACAGGCTGTTCCCAGGGAATTTCAATGCTATGGTTGCTTAAATAAGACCTGCATAATGACAACATTAATGAATATGTCAACGCAAGAGGGGAAATTTCACAAGGCCTTATTCCTAGATGAAGAGCTATAGGAAATCTAAGGTTGCTGAGAGAAGGAGAATCAATTTTCTCTGGAGAGGAGCTGCTGCCTGATATCTATCAAATTCCAAGTCATCAGCCCTAAATGCATTGTATATACAAGCAACGCTAAATGGATTCAGTAAATTTTGTGTGTGAGTCTGAGTGTCTATGCATACACATATAGGTAACTAATAATTAAAGAAGAGGTCTTGAATTTGAGAAGGAATAGAAGGGACATGGGAAGAGTTGCACCATGGACAGGGAGGGAAATGTTGTAAATATAGTACTCAAGTATGCAATTCTCAAACTAATAAATTTAAATTAAAAAAGGATTTCTAAAGTTCATCTTCAAGTTAAGCTTACATTATGTACTATGACTGTAATTACTGCTTCTCTGTATCATCCTCCCTGAGTGATAACAGACTAGGTTAAAAATTTATTCTAGGAATGTAAGCGAAAGTTGGTTTGGGATAGGCAGACTAAGTAGAACAGATCACCTACAGAATGTAGGAGGCCTCAGCTCGTCCTAGGGAAGTGGAGTAGGGGAGAATTTGCTCTTTGCCTGTTTTTGGATGGGGCATCATTCTTCTTCCTTGGGACTTGGAGTCAAGATTTGAACTAAAGCTTCAAATGACAGCTTTCCTAGTTCCTAGGTCTTTCAGTCATAGTATATCACCAGCCCTCCAGATTCTCCAGCTTGCTTTGTATGACTTATAGGACTTCTCTGTGTCCATCACTATATTCTGTAAGTTTATAAGCCAAAGTCAGAAGCCATATAATAAATATAAAACGTACACACAGTTCTGTTTCTCTGGACAACCTAGAGTCATATAATTATTATTTTTATGGTAATTTTGTTGGCTATAAATGAATCAAAACTATATTTACTTATACTAGTTCTTTCCTCAGTAACATCAAATTTTGTTTTATTTGCTAAGCAATAAGGATCATTTTCAAACTTATTTATGCAAATAAATTTTACTTACTAAAAACTGTTTTGTTGTTTATACCCAAACCAACAACCAAACAACAACAAAAACAGCAACAAAGCTGTTGTTTTAACAGATGTGGCTTATTCCAATTGTAACAAATGAGAAAAAAGCTGTTACGAAGAAAAATTTGAATAAGTTTCTCAGGCCAGGCTATATAAATATATTTACTCACTGCCTACTGTATCCTAGGCCAAAGAAACAAATGACAGCAAAAGTTGGTCTGAAACTGTCAACTACTGATCTATAAAGACGACAAGGAGCTAGTCCCAGAGTGGTGGCGTACGCCTTTAAGGACCTGGAGGGCGGTACATACAGGCAGAGACGAGGCAGTCACATGATTGGGTTTACAACCAATGAGAAGCCAGAACAAGGAGACTATAGAGACAGACACACAGGAAGTAGGGCTCTCTTTTCGGAGAGCCCTCTGGGCTGAGGAGGATCCCTGAATCAGGAAGGGTGAGGCTCTTGGCTCTGACTTCTTGGCTTTCTTCTCTGAATCGGCTCTGTGTTTCTTGTTTGATAAAACCGTTGGCTACATCTACACTGAATTACATCTACATTACACTGTTGAGAGGTATATGCTGGGCTGTTATAAGTTTTTATGCTCCAAGTCATTCCCATGACCATCATAGTGTTTTTTAATGCCTTGATTGCCTAGGAGGCTTTTTCCCCAGTCTGTGATAGGGAAAAGGTAAATGAGGAGTATGTATCTACTATTACGTGTTGTATTTTAAGTTACCAAAGGGTGGGTTGTGAGTAATATCCATTTGCCACAGTGCATTGGGCATTAGGCCCCTGGGGTTGACTGTTGCTCCATTTAGTGGTCCAAAGGGTGCTAGGGAGCACAGGTGGTACAGATTTGTGCTAGGTGCTTACAACTGGACAGGGGCAAGACAGGCAGAAGTTTATGGAGGTTATGAGGTGACAGGTGGAACTGTTGGTGTAAGAGCCTGGACTGCTCTAGCACTGGTAGTCACACTGTCATGATCATTTTATGTTCATGGTGGTTGCCAGCAGCCAGCATTTCTGGCAATCCCAAGTGTGATTGAATATGAGATATATACCATGGATGCCTTCTGTTCTCTAGCATGTCTTGTATTGTTTTCATGGTTATGGAGATGGGATCTCTAAGGCTCCTTAGCAAAGGATAACAGCTTACATGCCTGGATCGTGTATTGGCTGTCTGAAAAAATGTTGATGGGCATTGAGTGGCTCAACTCTAATACTTTAAGGATGGCCAAAAATTCTCCCAACTGAACGGAGTCTGGGTTGAGGTGGGCGTGAGTACATTTTTTTTTATCATCAGGCATGGTTATTATTAAACCAAAATTGGTCTTATTGGCATCTGTAAAAGCTATAGCCACTTGAGGGAGAGGGACATTTGAAGGATTAGCACATGGGCTTACAGTTAACTCAAGAAGTGACAGTATTGACACATGTTCATCTTGGGGGAAGTGGTTATCCAAGATCCCTGGAAAACCTGTCATCATTTTCTGGAAGGGAAGGGAGTCTGCCCATAAGGGCTGGGTATTTTGGAGGGAGAAGGGGAGGACAATCTTGTCTGGTTTGCAGCCCATGATTCTCCTGGCAGTTGCTCCTGCTTTATTGCCTATCTCAAAGGCAATATCAAATTTCGAGTTGATATGGAATTACTCAGAATGTGATAGATGTATCCAGACTAGTAGGCCTGATCACCACAGTGCTCCCAACACTCCACCCTTTGTCCAAAGGACTAGGGCTATCAGGGGAATATTTGGATTATATCCCC